CCTCACTCGTACAAAAAGGACTCCAAAGGGACTCATAGGGACCCTAATTTACAGAACTACCCAGTAAGGATTCCACAGAGTCAACACCTCTGTCAGGCCTGCTGCAGGCCCGCGTTCTTCGAGCGGGCGGCTTTTTCGTGTTGGGTTGGGGGTTTGGGGTTCTTGGGGCCTTGATCTACGTTCATGGCATTGTTTAGGTATTCTTAGCTAAGGGAGTTGTCCAAATACAGCGACCCAGAGGGGCCCTTACTCAGAAGCTTAGCCTCCCGTGTGTTGCCTTTCGTGTGTAGGGATGCTGCCGATTTTGTCTTTTTTTGCAAGGTTTACCTTCTTAATATCTAGCCATAACAGTCGGCACCCACAAAGGTGAACTGCAATTTGAGCCTAGGTAGGTTTTCTCCCTAAAAGGGACATTGGGCTTGCAGCATTTGCAAGCCCTGAAGCAACCCCTTGTGCAAAGCAACGGCGGTCTCTCATCAGGAGGCGATGCCACTACAAGAGCCTACTTGAAACTCCATGCCCAAAACTACCTTAAACTCTGAACCCTCAGCCCTCAACCCTAAACCCTAAACACCCCACTCTAATGAACCGGACCCTATATTAGAGACCGAAACTGCAGTCCTCAATCATCTGTGGTATTGAGCTTGTAGAGAAATCCCACCGCCACCGCATGCGCCCAATGAACGCAGGGATGGGCAGCTGCGATTTGACTTCGGCACATGGAAAAACTTCGTGCGCCAAGTCTACCAGGCGGCCTGATCGGGGTACGTGGGAGATTCCTCCATCAGTGTTAGGGATCCTTTTTACTTTTTGGGTTATGGGCTTTCTTATATATGAACCAAAAGGATCCTTTTTCTTCCTAGGGGAACATGGATTAAGATTCGGGGATTCGGGGCAACTTGACAGCCCAGTGGTACCTTGTGCCTTTTCTCTAGGTTCTAGGTTTCCTTATAAAGCAACCAACCCCCAACAGGGTACCCTTATTGCAATATGATGGATGCTGGGCTACCAGGGGTAATCTTGCGTTTTCTTGTGCTTTGACTCTTGTGCCTGAGGGCAGTCTTCAGGTTAATTTTGGTGGATACTTTAGGGGTTATTTCAAGTATGAGTAGGGTTATAAGTACAGTTATAAGTGGTTAGTAAGTACCATGAACCTCCAAGTAGGCATTGTTTTACTTGTCGTGGGTTGCGTAATTTGTCGACTAGTGGTGTGCAGCAGCCATCCCAATGAAATCCAGTAGACGCTTGCTAGCCCTGCCTGGCTAAGCAGGCATTGACAGCCCGAATTCCCCAAACAAACTGAACCAACATCTCGAAGGTTCCCCCTGAACCCTTTCAATTCACCCTAAACCCTGAACCCTGAACCCTAAACCCTAAACCCCAAATTTGCCTAATCGCCTAAACCCTTACCCTAAATCGCCTCAACTCTGAACCGCCCAAGTCCAGGCCCCCAAACCTGAGTCCCGTCCGATGCTCTTTATAATTTGGAATTTTCACAACATAGGGTTTAGGGCATTGGGGGTAAAGCAAACCTAAACTCCAAAGCCTCAACCTTAAACCAGGTTCGTCCAGGGGTACTATATTGGTCGGAAGAATTTCTAATAGTATTCCCCTGTGGTCCCTTTATACATCATACTAGAATAAAACCCCCCTAAACCTCTATTCTTTGATTAAGGCCCCTATATTACACCCCCCCCCCTTTGTTTGGGCAATGGCCTCGAAGGATTCAAGTGCCCAATGTTCCCCAACGCCATCCTTTGGGAGGCCAAGCACCAAGCGACCCCGAAGCGGTGATGCTCCAAAAAGGGGCGTTCTGGGTGGGTTTAGGGACGAGGGTCGAGGGTCTAGGTTCTAGGGTCTGGGGTTTAGGGTTTAGGGTTTAGGGTTGATGGTTGTCAGTTCAGCCCAAACCGCCAGGGAATGATCTCTTCAGGATTCAACACATGCCCGAGATGCTTCCTACAACAGTGCTTTAGGGTTTGGAGTTTAGGTTAACTTTTTGTTCTGGCTCCAGGGCTGAGCGTTTTGGCCGCCAGTCAACAGTACCGGTATAGCGACGGCCCTAAGTTGAGTTGTAAGTAATAGCTTGGTTAGCTCGCGTAAAAGTCTATCGCCTCAATATCAAGCATATCCTGGTTGTTAGTTAGTGTTTGAAGCAGAATAATGTAATAACCCCAAGCACACCTTAGGATGAACCAAGAAAAGGCGTAAAGCAGGTGTCATCCAAAGCCTATGGAGCTTGACATCAATTCTCTCCATGCCAGTCTTTCCCTGCATACAGTGTGTCAACGCCCTGCAGGGTACATAGTTTACGGTGGAGGGTTTGGAGCTGAAGGCTCGTCAACTGACCTTCCTAGATGGCAAGAGTAGTTGCTTCCACTAGCTCACTGGACTGCAACATGCATGCCCCAACTTGAACGGCCCACCCCCAGTGCCCCCGCGAGCATCCATACGCCACTCTCCAGCTTTTGGCCCAGCTGCATGGCGCACGTTTAGGACCAGAATTCCTAAACCTAAACCAAGGCCCTAAGCGAGCTAATGTGAAAGACTATGTTCCTCTCAAGTCTTCGCCCCATACCCAAGATCCTCAGCCCCGAAACCCTTTTTCCAACAACCCAAAGCCCAAGAGCCTAAGCCCTACTTCACGAGCCTAAATATGCTTACCAATATTTATTCCTTGTGGTTTTATTTTACTCCCTATATCGACCATAAACATGCACTCGACGAATTGCTCTCAATACCCATTCGCCTTAATACTCACGATAAACCCTAAACCCTAAATTTTAAATCCTAAGCCCTAAACCCCAAACCCTGAACCCCAAACCCTGAACCCTGAACCCTAAACCCTAAACCCCACCCGCCCGAAAACCCCAAGAATGGGTGCTTTCACATGCCGCGACCCGGTGCTGCTGGTGCTGGCGGCGCCGCGGCATGCCCAGGCTGCCGAGGTATTGAGGGGTTTAGGGTTCAGGGTGTCGGGATTCAGGGTTTAGGGTTTAGGGTTCAGGGTTCAGGGTTTAGGGGTTCAGGAATTTTTGGGTTTAGGGTTTAGGGTGGAGGGGGGCTTTGCGAAGGGAGCCCTTGTGCAAAAGGAGCACGCTCCTTGATGCGTAGTCTCTTGATTTTCTGCCACGTGCGAATTTCCTAGCCCCTTCATACACCCATATCTCCAATCCGACAGACCTAGGAGTTTCGCATGCACGTAGGAGAGAAGCGTGATGGGTCAACCCGAACCCCAAAGCCCCAATCGATCCAAATCGCATGTTGAAACCAAATCCCTGCAGCGTTACTCGCAAGAGGCAGCGGCCACAACGGAGTGCCTTGGATCATGCACCCAATTTTTCTAAGTTGCATTGATTCTTCGGGAATATGAACATACCTTTTAAACCAGGGGATACCTAATTCCTTACCTTCGCCACTCTGATGCCCTGTCGTACCCTCATTCCGCTTTTCAGGGTTCGGTTCCCTTTTATGCAAACACACAATCAACAAAATAAGGCATCCTTTTTGTTCTGAGGAGTGCTTCGAGTTTATTTCTAGGGTTCTGGGGCTCAGGGTTCCAGGGGTCTTTAGGCACACGCAACTTCTGGGGGGGTCCAACCAGAGGTGGAGCAACTGAGTGCAGTGGCCTAGGAAGTGAGGGGTGTAGGACCAGCCGGTCAGGGTGTAGGTTTAGGGTTTAAGAGTATAGCGCTAAGCACGTATAGGATTCAGGGTTTCGGGTTTTGGTCCGACAAGTATGTGCAGCACATGTGAGCTTTTCACTTGAGTACTGGACACATCTTAAGATTGCAGTTTGGGCATTCGGGGGTTGCGGCTTCAGGGTCCACAAGCAGAAGAAACAAGACCTCCGAGAATGCAACTTAACTCCAAGAATTGCTTTCAGGTCCCCAGATAATCTAAAGTACCTTTTGGCACGGATCCCTCATTAGTTTTGTGCGGGTGCGTAGTTTTTTTTTCGAGAATTCGGTGCCTAAAGGGGAGCTGCCATTAACGGTCCAGGTCCTCGTCTGTTCCGTCCAATTAGATCCTTGCACAGTAGAGAGAGGCATTGGCCATCTCACATCAGGAGTAACAATCTCAGACGGCAGAAGTTACGCACACAAATGCCAGCATCCCGTCTGTCCTTCCTTTCCCGCCCCTCGCCAACAAACTCGCCTACATAATTACATTGCAACGGCCCGAAACCCAAAGAGCTTCTCAAAGCCTCGAGAGCCTAAACCCTAAACCCGAAACCCTTGAAACTGAAAGCTGTTTGTCCCAAGGCTGCCCTCTTTGTGGAGAGCATCTTTTCTCCTGGCTCTTGCTTGGGTTCGCCACCGTGGTGACCACTTTTCTACTGACGCAGAATCGTCTTCAGAGCCTTGTCTGCAGGGGAGGGGGGGGAAGAGCTACGAATTGTTTGGTGCGTAGAAGTTGAAGATGTTTGAAGTGATTGCGGATTACGGGTGAGTTGTGGCTGTGAGGGAGAGAGATATCAATCAGTTCCCTCTTTTGAGGCGTGTTAAGTCTTAGGGAACAGGATGGCATGTTTGGTTTGCAGCTTTGTCCATTTACGGCTCTTGACCCTAGTTCCAGTAGGGTTTACGGATGATGGCCCGCGGCTTATTGCCCCGGGACACGTCCTTCTTCATACCGTTGCCATGCATTGCTTACTCACCATTTTTCGCATCCACCTCCCAATTGGGACAGTATCAGGTCTCGGTGTTTTGCACGTGAGGCTCTAGGACTCTAGGTGTGGCTGAAATACAGCTTGTGTGCAGCAGCTTATCGATAATAACTCGGATCGCACGAAGAGTTCGGCACGCAACTTCCCTGAGTCTTAACTAAAACCCGAACCCCTAAACCCTAAACCCTAACCCTCACCACAGAAGGTACCCTGAACCCTAACCCCTGAGCCCTGAGCCCTAAACCCGAAACTCTGAGCCCTGAGCCCTAAACCCTACACCCCCTCTCACCGTTACCATGCCAGGAGAGTGGTCTCAGACCTATCCGAAAGAATGCCGGCGTGGAGCTTCTCAGGCTGCTTGGGGTCCTCTAGAGAGAGGAAGAGCTGGGGGGTCATTGCTGGCAGTGTAGGGCTTAGGGTTTAGGGTTTAGGGTTTAGGGTTTAGGGTTTAGGGTTTAGGGTTTAGGGTTTAGGGTTTAGGGTTTAGGGTTTAGGGTTTAGGGTTTAGGGTTTAGGGTTTAGGGTCAAAGCAACCAGGGGGCTCTTGCCTTCCTACAGCTCACAAAGCCCAAAACTCTATAACCTTAAAGGCAAAACTCTACTTGGAGGTTCATGGTGCCTAGTAGAAGCTCCTTGAGTGCCCTTATACGGTTATAAGTACAGTTATGATTGGGTAATAAGTACCCCGAACCTCCTAGCAATAATTGATTCCTACACCCCACCCTGCAACCTACAGTAAGCTATATAGCCTCACAAGGGGAGAATATTCCAAGCGTTCAGGTACATCGCCCTTGTTTAAAGGTACCGATCTGCAGGGTTTAGGGGTTGAGGGTTTACGGGTACAGGGGTTTAGGGAATACTTCTTGGCTTTCTTCTGGCTGGCTCTTAGGACTTTAACCTTTTGGGTGTTTGTAGAAACTACAATAAGGAGCCTACAAGTTCAACTTTTAGGAGGGGTTCCGAAGCCAGCCAAGTCTTGGTAGCCAAAAACCCGGTCAAGCCTAAAGTCACAACGGCTGCCCTAAACCCTAAGCCCTAAACCCTAAACCCTAAACCCTAAACTCTAAACCCTAAACCCTAAACCCTAAACCTTAAACCCCGAATGCGAGAGGCTTGGACACCCGACCTCCCGTCTCGGAGGAGCTTCCTGAGGCCTCTCCGAGCAAGGGAGACTGTCCTGGGTTTAAGGTGTTAGGGTATAGGGTTTAGGGTTTAGGGAGACTGTGCTGGGTGTAAGGTTCTACACGCAACATGGAAAGTTGACCTTTTTTCTTGCGGTAAGGCAAATCACTGCGGGGAAGCTTTTTAGGAAGTCGACCGAAACTGCGTTTGCCTCGGGCAGAATTGTCCACAATTCCACGCATGCGTGTCGTAAGCCATGTTGTCTATACGATGTGATATAGGTTCAGAGAAATGATTGCCTGTTTTTCGTAAGTTTTGGTAGGCTTGACTCCATGCTTTGCTTGCGTTTCACTCGGGCGGAGGTGCTTCAGCAACCATGTTGGGTGATGTTTTCAGGCATGTTGAGCCCCAGCGTTCCTTGGGGATGTCGATACTTGCGTACTGAAATTCGCTGCTTTTCGTAGCCGTGAAATCCATGCGTTCATTGGGGGGAAAGGATCCCGCGGTCGCCTTCGTCAACTTCCTGAACCCTCTGCGTTCATTGAGCCCCTGTAGGGTATAGGATTTTGGGTCCAGGGTTTTGTGCATAGGGTGTAGAGTTGTTCAGACAAGATGGTTCCCTAGATTACGTAAGGGTCCTTAGCTAGGGGGCAATGATTGGGCCCTTTGGATGTTTTTTTTTTTTTTTGTTTTTTTTGGGAGGGGGGTGGGGGGAGGGGGGGGGGAGGGTGGGGGGGGGAGGGGGGAAGGGGGGGGGGGGGGGGAGGGGGGAGGGGGGGGGGGGGGAGGGGGGGAGGGGGGGAAAGGCTTTTTTGGCAAATGCTGCCTTCAAGTTTCAAGTTTAGCCCTGACGGTGAGGCGGGGCGCAGTGGCCATCCTGGTGCTCTAAAGGCCCTCAGTTTGGGGCTGAGGGTCTGGAGCTTGGCAATTTTCAGGAAGTTTAGGGTTTAGGGTTTGGGGTTTGGGGTTTAGGGTTTAGGGTTTAGGGTTTAGCTGCTTGTCATTAGCATGGGGAACTGGATCTGCATGAACCTTTAAGCCTACAAGCCCTAAAACCCCAACAGCTGAGCACAGCCTCTTTCTTTCGTTGACCAAACCTGGTTTGCTCTTACTGGCTGGTTCTTAGCAGGGAATGAGGGAATGAGGGCCCTATGTAATCCCTTAAAGGGTGTATATATAGGGCTTAGTCTTAGCCAAGACTACCTAGACCTTTTAATTGTAGTTCCTTTGTTTGGGGGGGATACCTGTTTCCTGGTATAGCTTACCTCAACCCTAATTCCTAGAACCCAACCTGCAGACTACATGCAAGGGTGAGCGATGTCCTGAGCCCTAACCTTCACGATTTGTATTTTGTTTGTTGCTTAGGGTGTTAGGGTTCGGGTTTGAGCTTTTGTTTGCTGGGTGCCAGTTCGTTTTTTGGTTTATCTTCCAAGTTGCTTGGTTATGGGACCCTGGTTTTGAATGTTGTGGGGATGCTTGAAAGGTATACGGTATGCCTAGAGGTGGTTCAGGAGCGTAAGTAGAGCACCAATGACCGGAATTCATGTTAAAACCCCTTGTCCTACCAAGTTGAAATCTCTGCATTTGAAGGTTCGAGTCGAAACAGCTACGAGCACCACAGTGTCCAGCTCGCCGGCTGCCTTGGCCGAAGGTGAGAGAGGGGTTTAGGGTTCAGGGTTTAGGGTTTAGAGCTTTGGGTGTGTGGCTTCGGGAGATGGCAAGCAATTGCAGGATGTGACGGGCTTGTGGTCACGTCCTTCCTTGCAGAGTATGCATACAAATCCCAAAGCCCAAACCCTCTAGGCCTGAAGCCCAAGCCCCAAACCTCTAAACCCAAAAACTCAGGCCCCCAAAACCCCAAATGTTAAACCCTAAACCTCCGACCCTAAACTTGCCACGGGGGCGAGTATAGACCCCGATGAGCAACGGAGAAGTTTCAGGATCTGGGGTCCGCAGGTTTGCATTTTGGCTTCAGGGTTGAGGGTTTAGGGCTCTTCAAAGAGCCCAATACCCCTTTCTGCTAAAAAATATACCCTAAAGCAAAGCAAGGATCCCTAATATGGTTTGGAGGACAAGTTGTTTCTTTCATTGACGGGCGGCTCTTTGGGAAAACGCCAGCCTTTCCAACCCTGAACTCTAAAGCCAGGTCCAGTGGTACCCTTATTAGCTAGGCCGTTTGGGATGCTTCACTTTTCCTGTGTTGGGTTTAAGAGGATGATATTCAGGAACATCTTTCAGAGGGTTTGAGGGGCCATCCTAGCTTCTGTGTGGATTTCTTTTTGCTGCTCGGCTGAGCCCTTGTGGGGTTTGGTTTACGGTTCAGGGCGCAGCCCGGAGGTGCCCTGTTGCCCTTTCTGTGTTGTAGTTCGCTCTGTACAAGTAACGAACCCCAAAAGCGTACCCCTGGCCATAGTATAGTTGCTGTGCTGCCAATTATAGACAAACCCAAACAGTCAAACAGTTTCCTTTTGGGGCTTCCGAGGTTACGTTAGTACGTAAAGTAGGCAGGACCTTTGGAAAATTTATTTCCCTCAATTGGGTTACGTAATGTTGAAGGGCGGAAGTGGGAAAAGTTTTTTTGGGTTGAGCGGAATCAGGGGGGCTTAAGGGGGTTTCAGAGTTTAACTCTGATTTATAAACCCTATACCCTAAACCGTAGGGGGTATAAGGTTGGTTTTCGGGTTTAGGGGTTTCGCGGGCTTAGGTGGGCTTAAGGAGGTCCATCAAACCTTATCTTAAGTAAGGGTTTAGGGTTTACGGTTTTAGGTTTTCCGGCACAGGAGGTTAAGGATATTTCCTGGGTTTTAGGTTACTGGGGTCTAGTGTAGAGGGTTCAGGGTCTAGGCAGTAGTCTTACAGCATCTTCTTTGCTGCCTTGAACTCAATCTTGCCGCGTCCATAGACGTCCACCACACGAAGTGCGCTCGAACGAACTCTGGCTACTAATTGCTTAAGAACCCTGAAAACAATTCTTCCTTATTGCGGGTAATATAGGGATTCTTGTTTTGTTTTTGTTTGTTGTTACGGGGTTCTTAAGCAAATCGTAGCCGGGTTAGTTAAGGCAGTCCTGGAAGCCACAGCTGCCGGCCTTATCCCCCATGCCCTCAACTGCTCTGGGTCAAAATTAGAGTTTTGGTTTAGGGTTTCCCCAAACCCTAAACCCTAAACTCTAAACCCTAAACCCTAAACCCTAAGCCCTAAACCCTAAACGGCAGGTACTGCCATGCTCGAGGGGGAAGACCTTCCTTGCGGGCACTTGCCCATCGACGACTGGGATGAGAACCAGCCAGGCCCCTCGAAGCCTCAATCCTAAACCCCCAAACCCGAAACCTTCAACTTACCCTAAACCCTAAACCCGAAACCCGAAACCCGAAACCCAAAAAAACCCAAAAACCCCAAAAACCCCCAAAAACCCCAAAACCCTACACCAACCATCCTAGACTCTGAACGTGAAACCCTACCCGCGCCGGCCGATTCCCCGGAACCCTGAACCCCAATCCCACCCAGCAAAGCGCTTGCCAGGCGCCTCCTTCAAGGTGGTGCTCTTGGGCACAGACACACAAGGTGTCCTGCTCGCAACTTCGTCGTTCGAGTATGAGAGTATGTCCAGGTATAATAATAATACTAATAATAATAATACTAATAATAATAATAATAGTCCAGGTAGCTTGGTTCCGATATGGTCAGTTCTCTACATTGTGGTTCCCTTCTTAAGTGCCCTAAAGAAGCGGGGGGAGAGGGGGGGGGGGGCGTATATTATATTGATAAGGGCCATGTTCGAGAGAAATGACCACATGTGGGCGTATCTGGGAGTTTGGACTTGTAGGTCGTCCTTCCTTTTTGCAGGGGTGCAGGGCTCAGGGTTAAGTCCTTTTACCCTAACAACCCTGAAGCCTAAACCAAGTTGGGCACATGGACCCTAAACCCTAAACCCTAAACCCTGAACCCTAAACCCTAAACCCTAAACCCTAAACCCTAAACCCTAAACCCTAAACCCTAAACCCTGCGCAAGGTCGATTTGGTAACGAGCTCTTCGTCGCCGCTGTTTCGCTCATCGCTGCTGCCCGGGCGGCATTGCCAGTCCTCCTTTCGAGGCCTGTGGGGCTGCATGGCTTTAGGGTTGTTTTATGGTCTCTGCACCCTTGCTTGTAGCCATAAAGCCCTGAACCCTGAACCCTTACCTGTAGCTTGTTTTGGGAAATTGTACTTAGGTAAGACAGGAAAGAAGATGGAGACTTCACTGAAAATTCAAGTGGGGCTAGCATCTGTTTTCCAGTTCCACAGCAACACGAGGAGTGGCTTATTTCTGAACCCGTATAAAAACCCTATAAACCCCAAAACCCATAAATCCTGTTAACCTTCAAAACCCAATAAGGGTTGAGGCCGCTAAACCCTCTAAACTCCATTATACCTTGTAAACCCTATTAACCCTATAAACCTTAAATTTGTTTGACCCATAGACGCCCAACCAAAGCGGAAGGATGCGATTGCTTCCTCTGTAAGCGGTACAGGAACTCGAAGTTAACGGTCAACACTAGGTTGGCCTGTGGGATATGTTATATTTTCCTTATTTGAGTTTATACGGGCCGTTATATATATATGTACATACATACACACATATATATATACATACACATATAATATATATATATATATATATATATATTTCTTGTTCATTTACATTTGTTTTGTTTTAAGGGTTTAAAGGCCAACCCAGATGATGTGTAGGTGGATTTGGGGGGTCTAAGGCATGGCGCTTTCTCCTGTGCAGGGTTTTCCGACTAAGGGAATTTGCGCTTGGGGATTGCCGGGCTATGGCAAAGACAACTCCCAAACCCCAAAAACCCACCTTTTAAAGTTGACTAGTCAACAATCAGACATGCCATTGTTCCCCAGAACCACGTTTTTCCACGCATTTTCCAGGAATGCAGGTGACGAGAAGAGGCCTTCCTGGGGCATGGGATTTCGATTTTTCACGTCTTGCGGGCCGATGCTTGGCTAGCGACAGCTAGCGAAGTCCCCTGTGTGCCCTAGCTGAGTAAACAATAAAAAAAGCCCTAAAGCTACAAACGCCAGCGTATGGTGCCGGGTGGTTGATCCTGTGGGTAGTGTGAGCTATCAATTCCAGTCAGCTTTTGACCTCCACACACCAACAAAAATGCCGCCTAACTCTGCAACCCCAAGCCATTACCCACCAAAGGCCTGATCACTCTCCCCGACAACCCGAACCCAAAGCTACGAAAGACCTGATCAACCCACACGCCTGCAGTCAACCCAGTACCCTACAAGGGTTTAGGGTTTGGGGTTTCAGGGTTCTGGTTTGTAGGGATTAGGGTAAAGTGGTAAAGTCCAAACCTACTGTTGCAGGGAATGGTGGAAAAGAAGCTTTACAAACCTACCGTTGCAGGGAAGTGGAAAGAAGCTTCTGGTACTTGGACCTCTCTTGGCTGCCTCTCCCCCTATAAGCCCTCAAGCCCCTAAAAACCCCCAACTTCCTGAACCCTTGACCTTAAACCCCAAACCCTCAAAACCCAGAAAACTAACATGCAGAAGAACCCTAAACTCTCACCAAACCCTAAACCCTTAACCCTTAACCCTAAACCCTGAACCCTGAACCCTAAACCCTAAACCCTGCACCAGGCAGATCTTGCAGCTGCCTTGCCTGCGTTCCAGCCGGCATTTAGCCCAGAAGGTCAAGGCAGCGGTGGCCTAGGGTTTGGGGCCTTTAATTTCTTTGACGGGTTTGCTAAGGGTTTCTCATGGCTTTTGAAGTTTCATTTTTTTATTGCAGGGTTTGTTAAGGTTGTAGGTTTGAGGTTTGGGAAGTTTGGGATTTGAGATGAGGGCTTCGGATTTCGGGTTAAAGTGTTTGGAGTTGAGGGTTCCGGGGTTGAGGGTTTACCTGCAAACTATGAACCTCAAGTAACTCATGGACCAGCCCCGCTCTACCCTCCCTGGGCCCCTAAATCCCTTAAACCCTGGGCTATGAAAACTCAACAACACCGCAAATTCCTGCAAGCCTCTCAAGCCCCCTAAACGCTAGACTTGCGCTACAGCCGAAACCCTGAACCCTAAACCCTAGTCCCTAATCCCTCAGTCCCTAAAGCCTAGTCGGGGTGTCAGAGTTGGCATGGTCTGGGCTGTTGACCCAGCTGTCGAATCAAGGCCCAAATCTGCGAACCCAAGCTTGACTCCACAGAGTGCCCAGAGTAGTGGCCTGCATATGGGTAGCTCTCTACATTAAAGTCCCTTTTTGGGCCTCTTTTTTTGTAAAACGGTGCCCTCATACTAAGGACCCCCGAAAAGGGACCCTAATTTAGAGAACCACCAGACAAGGAGGACCAGTTCAGGACTTAGGGTTTAGGATTTAGAGTTTACGGTTAGGCTTCAGGGTTTATGGTTTGCCGATCCGAGGCTTAAGGCGGAGGCCTCAGGAGCTTCCAAAATCATCCCCGCAGGATCCCTACAGAAAAAAGTCAATTACAAACGCCCACGATGTCCTTTCCACTTAGCAGCCCCTATAGCAGCCTCTATAGAGTAATCGCTATAGCGATGAGTAGGGAATGAGGTATTTAAGGGATTTTCTTGGGTACCAATTGGAACCCTAAGCCCTAAACCCTAAACCCTAAACCCTAAACCCTAAACCCTAAACCCTAAACCCTAAACCCTAAACCCTAAACCCTAAACCCCCTTTGTTGAGTGTATATGGCTGCAACCCAGACTTCCAGCACCGATGTGCATGTTTTGCTGCCAGGACTTCTGCAAAGGCTGCAATCCAGCCGGCAGCTGAGTTTAGGGTTTAGGGTTTAGGGTGTAGGGTGTAGGGTGTTGGGTGTTAGGGTTTGGGGTTTAGGGTTTTAGGGTTCTAGGGTTCTAGGGTTCTTTAGGGTTTCAGGGTTTCGGGTCTGGGTCGGGTTTAGGGTCTAGTCTAGTGGTCAGAATTCCGGAAATCCCGAAGCCCTTGTAAAATTCACCCTAAACCCTAAACCTAAACCCGAAACCTTTTTTAGAGTTTACAGAGTCGGGTTTTTGAATCCCTATAAGGGTTAGCCGGACCTCGCCGAGAGGCTGTTTTTCGGTGGTCCATTGCGTTGTGTTTTCACCGACCAGCACTATATGCTACGAGTTGCTGAAGAACCCCCCGCCCAAAAACGAAAAAAAAGACAAAATAAATATGCATATATATATATATATAAATATTCTTCCTTGCAAGGGCCATATAGGGAGTTTTTTTGAGCAAACAGTAGTATGTGGACGTTTCAGGTTGCAACGGTTGTGACAGGTGGTCATCTAAGTGTTTCATCCACGGGCTGTGTCTGTCCACGGACACCATCCGTAAACGCAGGCCATGGAACCGTCCACGGACCCCATTGTCCACGGATGCGTTTTTGTAGGGACCCACAACGCACTTCTCCCATCCTTATATAGTTGAGCAATCCAGGTTCTGCCAGTGCGTTCCTCACGGGCCTCAAAACGCACATATGAAGCCATGTTGGCTTGTGTGCACTGGCTTGTGTGCACGATGGCCAGGAGAAGCAGAGAGAGGCAGAGAGAGGCAGAGAGTGGAAATTGGTCGGTGCTCGTGCATTTTCGGTGCCCAGACAGCAGTCGGTGTTCCGAGGCTTTCTTCGCTTACCTCCCTTCTTTGTTCTCTGTAGAGAGAAGGAGTGTAAAGCTGTTCTGGATGTGTCCTTCATCCCAGAGCTCCACTACGATGCTGTGGTGCCCATGGAGGTCAATTCAAGGTCGGGTGGTCAACTCAGGGTCGGATTCTCTTCATTTTCGATTCTTGTTGGGTTCTTTCGATGTCTGGTTGGGTTCTTTCGATCGCAGGATGATGTCTACGATGTAAACATGGAGGGAGCCGAGGGGCAGAACGTGGAGGAAGACATGGCGGCAGAGGACGCAGGGCTTGTTGTCGTGCTAGTGGACAGGCGTGCCCTGGCAGCCGGGACGTTCCAGCGACCAGAAGTTCCCCATTCCAAGAGAGGCTTCAACAAGCCTCGGTCAAAACATACCACTCCGACGGGCTCCACCTTGAGAAAGACCGCTCCTGGTGGATGGAGGGCGCGTACGTGGGCGACGTGTCAAGAAGGGACGCGTGGATGAGCGACTCGACCGCGAAGCTGTTCTTTGAACGCTTCCTAAGCCTCCAAGCTCACCCCATTTTGGCCACCGCCCTAAACGCACCACAGCCCCTACGAGCATGTAACCCCGTGGAGCGAGACCATGAACCGGTCCACGCAGACCATGCAAAAGTCCACGCAGCCACCGGCCACGCATGTGGACTTGACACTTAGGTGGTCATGTGTGACGATGTGAGCCGAGTGGGTTTAGGTTTTTGGTTTGGGGTGTTTGTTGGATGGTTCTTCAGAATGAGCTGTGGAGCCCCTCTTTGACCTTGAGATCTCAAAGGGGAAGAGTGGTGGGGTCGAGGGATTGCAGCTTCTACGCAGAGCAGCCGAATAGACACATCCCATTTTTCTCAACGCCATGCACAACAGCCTATACCAGTGCCTAAATCCCTAAACCCTGCAAAGGCCATGCTTGTGACTTTCTCCCAAGGCTTCGGGCTTCAGGTCTGCAGTTTACTGTGCCATGCAAATGCTACTCTAACTTAAGCTAGGGTCTCTTCTGGGGTGGGGTTGGAAGTAGGAGAGGGGTTAAGAGTTGTAGTTGCGGGCTACAACACCGAATACCCAAATTCTTTATGGGAAGTCTCCAAACTACTTGTATATCCTCTAAAGACTTAAAGACTCTAGACTGACTCTCATTCCTTGTTTAACATCAGCTAGCTAGGTTCCCGTTTTTGAGAATGTAAGTGTAATTTCTTTTAAACATGAATCACCACAGGCCATTGGACAAAAACACGTTGGCCCTCTAAATTCCAAGGTTAATGGGGAACCTTGTGAAATTGCTGCACTTTCGTACGTGCCATCAATCGCTAAACCCCAGCAGCCCAATGCAAAAAGAATAGCAAAACAGCTACACAGCAGACTCCTCTCAGTGCCATGCCTAAACCCTAATGTCAGAACCTTAATCCGTCTAAACACTAAACCCTACATGTAAGGTTATGAAATTAGGGTTTAGTAGGGTTACATTCCCCACTCTCTCTGCCGCCGGCGGATTCAGGGCGACATCTGGAAAGACAGGCGTGCTGACCGCTCACTTTTGGGGCTAACCCTAAGCCCCAAACCCTAAACGCTAAACCCTTAACCCTAAACCCTAAACGCGAGCCTTTCAGGGCTTTAGTTTAGGATTTTGGGTTTAGGGGGCACCCAGAGGCCCCAAGGCTTTCGGGTGTAGGGTTACGGCACGCCGAGAGCCCAATACCCTTCAGGAAAGAGTAGACCTTACTGTACTTTGATTAGGGTTTAAGGTTTAGGGATTAGGGGTACTGATTAAGCAGCTATAACTGTACTTATTAACCCACTTACAAGCCCCTTAAGTGCCCCAATATGGCTACATAGTATAGTTGTATGTACAGTTAGAATTGGTTAATAAGTACCATGCACCTCCAAGTAAAGCACATGACGTAAAGGACGCCCTTAGTAGGATGTCAGGTATGACCCTTTCATCAAGGGGATTTGTTTTGCCACCACTTCATGCGTTTAATGTTCAAGGTTTCACGTTCACAGGGTTTAGCGTTTTGAGCTTAGGGTCCTTTTTCCCCCGTCTACGACATTGAAGTAGAGTCTGCCCTAAATGTCCACGTTGAACTGTAGACTACCCTAACCCCCAAACCCTAAACCCTAAACCCGAAACCCGAAACCCTAACCCTAAACCTTAAACCCTAACCCCCAACCGCTAAACCCTAGACCCTAAGCCCTAAAGGGTGAGAATCGGCACCCTTGCAATCAGCCCGTAGGCAAAACCTGCATTCCCAAGTGAAGCTACAGATCGGAACACCAGCAGCCACCTGTGCAGTCTGCCCTGTCCGCACTTCACAGCTCCCACAGTTGGAACCAACAGGGAAAGCTTCGTACATCACTGAAGTAAGCACCAATCTTCAGCCTTGAGCCTCAGGCTGAGCCCTGAGCCTTAAGCCGCTTAAGCCCTAAATGGCTCCAAGCCTTGGGCTCTAAAGGCCTCGTCCATTGAAGCTGAGCGGTGATTCCCTCAGTGGAGAACCCGCCCCTCCCCCCCCCCCCTCCCCCTCCGACCCCCAAACCCTTTCCCAACCCCTGCAACACTGGGAGGAGCAACTCCTGCAACAGGCCCGGAGGGTTGAAAGGGCTTCTAAAACCCCGAAACCTAGTTTCATGGCTCTTTCAGGGTCTACCGCCAAGGCCTTCGAATGTACAGCGAGTTCGGGCTTCGCACTGCATAGATTGGATGCTCACATATGAAGTCGTTGAGAAGACTTCCTTGCTCCCCAAGCCAGAAGCCCTAGCCCACAATGCCAAGTACACTCCAACAGAAGAAGGCATGCTTACCCTGAACCCATGATCCCTCAAGTCAATCCGCAAACGGAATCCCTAAACCCGGAACCCTAAAGCATACTCCCTATAACACCCTGACCCAGATGCTTCTTTCCGTAGAGCTCCTTCAGGCTCACCCTGTACCCTAGCCAGTGAACCCTGAAACTTGTAGACCCCTAAACCTGAAACCCTGAGCCCTACATACATCTACGCTAACCTAAGAACCTGCTGCTGCCCTTTCAACAGGTACATGGTACATATACCGCATCATTCTAAAGGCAGATGCACCTTTAAAACGTTCAGGATCTTTGTATACGTGACGTGCGGTAAGCATCCAGGGCTCACGTTGTTGAGGGTTTAGGGACTTAGGGGGGTATAGGGGGGTTAGGGTTTAGGGGGTTTAGGGTTTAGGGTTTTAGGGTTTTAGGGTTTAGGGTTTTAGGGTTTAGGGTTTAGGGTTTAAGTTTAGGGTTTAGGGTTTAGGGTTTAGGGTTTAGGGTTTAGGGTTTAGGGTTTAGGGTTTAGGGTTTAGGGTTTAGGGTTTAGGGTTTAGGGTTTAGGGTTTAGGGGATGAGGAGGACGAAGCAGAGTTAAGCCAAATCGAATTTCGGGCACCAGGGGCCGTGGCTGCCTCCAACATCTCCAGTCAAAGGCCTGGCATGGTTCAGCAGGTTTAGGGGTTTAGGGGTTTAGGGTTTAGGGTTTTGGGTTTTGGGTTTTGGGTTTAGGGTTTTGGGTTTAGGGTTTAGGAATTTACATGGTCCAGGGCATTCGGAAGGTCTGAGCAGACCAGCGTACGAATTTGGGCACCCTAAACCCTCATCCCAAAACCCAACACCCTCAGTTTGAACTGTAAACCGCGTGCTCTCGTATATCAGCCTGTCGTCCTAAGTAATTTAGTATTACCCAGGCACCCCCCCCCCCCTCCAGTAATTACCCTTGGTGGGGGGTCCAGGTACACTGTATTGTCAAACTATGAACCTGGGGGTGCCCACAAGCATGGGAAGCGCCTACGCTGACGGGTTCAGGACTTAGGGTTTAGGGTTTAGGGCTGAGGTGGCGCGCAGAGCCAGCGCAACCCTAGGCAAGAACTACGGCGAACAACCGGTAGATTCCAAGCCCTTAGAACATGGTCTATGGGACCATTTCTAGGATGCCTAGTAGACCCCTTATCCTTTTTTTTGCCGGGGGGGGGGGGGGGTTAAGGTTCACTTATAAGCCCCTTTAAGCTACAAAAAGGCACCCTTTGTATTTCTAGATTACTGGGCAGCCTGGTATTGGGCTTCTAGGGCCTCTGGGGCTTGCAGGGTTAGGGTTTAGGGTTTAGGATTTAGGGTTTAGGGTTTAGGATTTAGGGTCTAGGGTTTAGGGTTTAGTGTTTAGGGTTTAGGGTCAGGATCTAGAGGTGAAGGGATTACAGGATTTACAGGGCCTTCACGGGTTTTATAGGGTTTACAATTGTGCCGCAGTAATCCCTCCCAACTTAGACACAGGAACTGACACCGCGAAGAGGGTACTCAGATTGCAACATGAGATTGCAACGCAGCGGAAGGAGGCGGGGCAAGGGGGCAGGCCCCTCCCCCCCATCTTTTCTGGTGTCCTTTGAAAATCCTCCCACTTGTGAAGGGTCCCATGCCCAGACAGCCCAATAAAGAGTCCCGAGTTGAAGGAATCGACCTTTACCTCAAACTATGCAGTCGCCAAGAACTCCAAGAACTCAGGTAGATTCCTGAACTAAGGGGGCATTGGGCTCGTACTTACAGCCCTAAACCCGAAACCCCAAACCCTGAACTCACAACCCCAGCAGTTCGCCTGCCACAGAAGATGGTGCTGGACCCCAGTGGTGGGGGCTTTCACCAGGCCGGGGCTGCAACATGGGTTTAGGATGTTTAGGGAATCCGGCGCCCGGCTTGGTGTGGGATATGTTTTTCCGAACTTGATTTCGTAGTTTAGGGGCTTTGGGTGTGGGGTTTGTTTTAGTTTGTATGCGCCTCCCCATTTGCTGGATTTCTTGCTTTCCATGTTGAGACGTCCAGCGAGCTCCTGGGGCGTTGCCATGTGATGTTGGCATTGTTCAAACCACTGGCAGACATTGTCAAACCTATGTTGCTAAGTGTGAATGTGGAGTGGCACCCGGCATTGCTAAACCCTAAACCCCAAACCCTAAACCCTAAACCCTCAAAAAAGCGAGAGCCAACTTCATCACCTATGCGCACCTTTCCGACCCCAAACCTTGCCCAGACCCGTGCTGGTAGTTCCCTTTAGGGTATCTTTTTTCAGGATCGTATTACAATAAAATTAGTCTTATTATTATTATGGTTGTTGTTATATATAATATGTATATGTATATGTATATGTATATGTATATGTATATGTATATGTATATGTATATGTATATGTATATGTATAATGTATATGGACATAATATATATATATATATATAAGTTTATGAACATATATATATATATATATAGATCGCGAGATATAGGTACAACTGGTATCTACAGTTGAGGGCCTATGGGTAAGCCCTACAATTCCAAGCCCTTTTGCCAGGATCTGTCGGAATGGCGCGATCCGCCGCTGAAGTGGCGACCCCTTCTACAGAAGGCAGGTTCCCGCTGCACTAAATGGCGGGGTAGGGTTTAGGGTTGAGGGTTTAGGGTTTAGGGTTCAGGGTTCAGGGTTTAGGGTTTAGGGGTTTAGGGTTTAGGGGTTTAGGGTTTAGGGTTTAGAGGGTTTGGGGGTGGGGGGGGGGGGGACCGCTCTATCTGATGATCCCTTTTGGTTCCTGTTATCACACTTTTTTGTATAGAGTACTTACCAACAAAGGGACCATAGTTTCAAAGGAACTGTCGCAATGCTGTATGGGGTTTGGTCTAAGTTGCGGGTCTCTTGCAAGTACCCTGAATATCGCACTGCGTCTTACATCGTAAGGGACGGGAATTTGCAACAGCCTCTCCCCCCCCCCCCCCTGTTTCTACACATGTATATATATATATATACATTTACATATGCAAGTCTTTAACCCGCAATTCGGCAATTCGCGCGTTTGTTTTTTTAGTTCTTGGCGCCTGTCGGTGACATCAAGCCTTCGCAGGCCGTCCTCAATCCTCATTGACAAACCCTGAACCTTGGGTTTAGGGTTTAGGTTCTAGGGTTAGGGTGTAGGGTTTAGGGTTTAGGGTTTAGGATTTAGGGTTTAGGGTTTAGGGTTTAGGGCTTACGTTTCAGGGTTTAGTGTTTAGGGCTGAGCCCACCAAAGCCCTGTACTCTGTAGCTGTGAGGCTCTAAGATGCTGGGTCTCGGGGGTTGTTCGGCGATAGAAGTGTATCAGGGCAAGGGTATGCAGGATACACGCTCAGACCAAAGCCCTATAGGTTGAACTCTTAAAGCCCTTCAAAGGAGCGATTTAAATGGCCAATTAACACAAAACCCTAGACCCTAGACCCTAAACCCTAAACCCTAAACCCCAAACCCCAAACCCCAAACCCTACACAGAAGTCCCAACTTCACGCCATGCACTGAAAGGTTTTCCATACGCCGATGCCAAAGCTGCAGGTGCCCAGGGGTTTCGGGTTAAGGGTTAAGGGTTTAGGGTTTAGGGTTTAGGGTTTAGGGTTAGGGTTTCGGCCAATCTTATGCAGGGTGTAGGTTCAGGGTGAGGGTTTGCGGCTCAGGGCTTAGGATTTCGGGTTTTCGGGCTTAGGGCTCTGGGTTTAGGGTGCAGGGGCTGGGATTTACGTAGGGTTTTGGTGTTTGGGTTGTGGGGTTTAGGGTTTTGTTGCTTCTCCTCGGCAATGATAGCCCACCTCGTGCACCCGGTGAAGCTCCGTGGGGCATAGAGCATGCACGAGGATGCAGAGCCAGAGGTGTTCGCCTCCGTTGAAAGGCTTCGTTCCCGCACCACGAGGAAAGCCGCAACCAGCTCAACCCCTGTGGAAACCTCTGTATCTTGTAAGAGTCGCAACTTCGAAGACGTTAGATGTTTAGAGGTGTTGGGTTTCAGAGTTTTAGGGGTTTGGTCCAGTGGGGTTTAAGTAACTCAGTCCTACAGTAGATAACCTTTAGCCTTTCTGGGGTATTCTAATCCCAATAGAAGCCCAAAGGTTAACCAGTTAACCTTTAATTCCCCCAGGTTACTGGACAACTAAGGTAATGTTTTGGGCTGTTTTAAGGGGGTTTGGGTTTGCATGATCGCAGGCGCCAGTCGCCCTGCCCGACGCTGCCGACCTGGTGATGCACCTGGGCCTGAAAGGTTAGGGTCAAGTACCATTGTAGTTAGGGTTTTAGGGTTTAGGGTTTATGGTTTAGGGCCGGTTTAGGGTTTAGGGTTTAGGGTTTAGGGTTTAGGGGCTTCGGGAGATTTGGGCTTAGGCTGGATCACCGGGAGGTTGATCAAAGTTAAGGGAATGGGCAGTGTTCGGCACCAGAAACGATTCAGGGTTATACCATACAAACTCAAAGAAGGGACCAGCATTGAGAATGCCCCTCACGTGGTACATGTGTGAGGGCATGTCAGGAGTGGCAACCCACAGTGCGAGCCACTTTGACTGGAGTCGTCCTGGACCCTGAAATATGTAGCTTCTTTGTTTGGGGGTTTCTATACTGTATAGTTAGATTTATGGCAAGTTCTCTAAAATGTGGCCGATTATTGGACTCAATATCCAAGGCTCCACATTCGAATGGGTTTGAGAATCCCCGGTATACTACCTAGAGAATTAGTGGAGCTACAACGCAGGAAACCAGCCGGAGCCTCCCTAGACTAGATAGCTTGCGTGAGGGGTTTAGCGGTTTGGAGGTTTAGGGTTTAGGGTTAGGGTACAGGGCACTTGTAATATCGGGCCGTGGGGGTCCGGCGGACAACACGATTAATGAAGAGTATTTGGGGTTTAGGGCTTAAATCTCAAAACTCCGCACAGCCCCCAAGCCCACTGAAAGTTTAACAATCGGGGAGGGGGTGTCTAAACGATGGATTCTTGTTGCGCCTCCATTAGAGTACATGTGGACAGAATGGCCCCCAATTAGTATCATCAGTTAAGCTTGCAGCTAGAACAATATCGATGCTGGTAACTTTCGGCGTGGGTGATACAGACAGTCGCAATCCTCGTTTTGACACTTTCGGGTTTGCCCTATAGCCGAGTCGAATCTAGACTAAAGCTCGGGACGCTCATTTTCAGTATGCAGGTGCCTATCTATCTATCTATCTATCTGTGTATAGATGTATATGTATACATGCATATGTCTGTATCCCTTGTTTATACGAACGGGAGCCTGCAGCCTACGTTAGTTTTGTCATAAGCTTGAAGTGGGAAATGTAGTGATTGTCTCATGGGAGCACCACCCTCTTCAACCCAGGTATTTCCGACCCTTCAAGAGAAAGCAGGCGCGCTCGGCAGCAATTCCTGGAAATCGGAGACAGCTTACAAGGGCTCTTGTACCTCTACTCGTAATTAGGACCGTACGGCTTAATTATGGAATCCTGGTTATGGACACTTTTGGGGATGGTTGAGAAAGAGATATACCTTGAGCCAGATAAATCCACACCCATGCAAGAAGCACGCCGCAGAAGTGTTTGGGCCCTCATGTGATCATTACCAAAAGGTGGCCGGCTTAACAACTCAGCAACTTTAGGAATACCTACCCTCAGCCCAAAGCCCTGTCAGCTCTGTAGACACAAGACAAGCCTGGGATTTAGAAAAATGGGGGACCCTCAAAAATAGACCCCCTAAATAGTAGGATTCCCTTTATACTGCGGACCCCAAGAAGGTACCCCAATTTCGGAACCGCCATGTGGGCTGAAGTCTGCAGGTCTTCGATGTCTACAACTCGGATGGAAGGCAACTCGGAGTCGATAACCCAATCGTGCTCATGCCTGGAACCCTTAGGCCGCAAGGTTTGTAGAGTTTTTGGGGTCCATAGGGTTTTATAAGGTTTATAAGCTTTGTAGTTTTTATAGGGTTTGTAGGTTTCATAGGCTGTATAGGGTTTCTAGGGTTTATAGGATTGAGAGCGTGTAAAAGGGTTATGGGGATTATAGGTTATCTGATGTATCTTGAACATGAAGTTTGCCAGCACAGTGTTTAGGAGTTGTTGTTCAAGGCTTCAGGCTCTTCTTCGAGGATAAAAATAACAAGGGCTCGGGTCTGTCTGTGCATGTGTTGGGAGGCCTCAACCCTAAACCCTACGCCCCAAACCCTAAACCCTAAACCCTAAACCTTACACTCCCAGGATTGCCCCGTGCGAAAGTCAGGCTCTCGGCGCCGCCCTTCAGCTTCTTCGCCTGGGCGGCCGCCGCCTCAAAACTGAAGCACCGTGGGCCCCAAAACCCTCCTAGGCAGGATAGGGGGGTGCCCTGAAAAGGGAACCCTTCTTGACCCTCTTCTGGCTCTCTTAAACAGGGACCTTATTCAGAGGGTCTATATCCCCAAAAGTGCCCTAATCCTGTCCCCTAAACCCATTAAATTCTCCGCAGTGCCTCTTATATTAGTAAGGGAATGAGGGATGTAGATGCCGTACCGAGTCCCTTAAAGGGTCTATAGATACAGGGGCATAGAAGGTACCGAATTCGCTCATTCCCTATTAAGAACCTGTAGTTAAACTGATATAAGGATGCTTAATGTGACAGACGTATTCCTTAAGTAAGGGGTGTGTTGAGCTCTCATGGTTCTTAGGGCCTAAAGTCCGTCTTCAATGTTGGAATTTGATGGTGTTCTTTCTGTTGTTGCCCCGCCCCACCGCCAAAGTGTAGCTAAATGTGGGTTTCTGTGGGACATCTTCATGGGTAGCTAAACCTTCTGAACCGCCAATAACGGTCCAGGGAATGCTGAGTGACAGTGCCCTGGCTTGCAGGCCATGTCATCCCCGTGTAAATCCAAAATCCACCCTTGACCGATTGCAGCCGAGATTCGAAGGAGCCACCCTCGGTGATGATTTGCAACAACGGAATTGAACTGTGAATACCACAACTAGAACAACACAGAGACGCCCATACTCCTCAAGCAAGAATTACACCTGCATTCACAAGGAGTTCCCCTGTTTCAGTCCAAACCCAGACCTAAGCTCCTGCCCAGCTTGGATGTGTGTCTGGCATCCCGGCGTTTGAAGGGTTTAGGTTGGGTTCCTTCATCATATCCCTTGCCAAATGACCAGGTTTTCCTGCTTTTGTTGCTTCTCTCCTCTGCTACTTTGGAGCCCTAAACCCTAAACCCAAACCCTAAACCCTAAACCCTAAACCCTAAACCCTAAACCCTAAACCCTAAACCCTAGACCCTAGACCCTAGACCCTAGACCCTAGACCCTAAACCCTAAACCCTAAACCCTACCCCCTAAACCCTAGACCCTGGAGCCGTTTTTAAAAGGCAGCGGCGCACCGACGAGCAGTCTCACATGGCAAGCTGTGGGCACGGCCCTGAGACGGCTGTTTCGTGATTAGGTGAAGCACTATAAGTTGTTTAGGGTTTAGGGTCTAGGGTTTAGGGTTTAATTAGGGTATAGGGTTTGGGGTTTAGGGTGTTCTCTACACCAGCCAAACTCCCTGAACCCCAAACCCCTAGACCCCAAACCCAAACCCTCCCAAAACCATAGCCTGCCCTCTTTGTTCATGAGCAGAGATGGAGACTCGATCCCTATAAGGTGTAATCCGTAATCCTTAATGACGGGGTAAACCCTGAACCCTAAACCCCAACCCTAGACTCCCAGCCTGATTCCCACACCCTAAGCCCTAAGCCCTCAAAACCCTAAGCCCTAAACCCCACGCCTGAGCCCTGACTTGAGGAAAGGGGTTTAGGGTTCAGGGTTTAGGGTTTAGGGTTTCACCCCAAACCCCTGAAACTGTACTTGCCCATTTCCTCAGAAAGGTTGTGGCCGATCCGTCCCTGCGGACCCACCCCACCGTGACCCGCCTCGTCAAGGAGAGACTCAGGGGCTCCAGCTCTAGCCCTGAATTGAGGAAAAGGGCTTAGGCAGTTTAGGGTTTTGCGTTTAGGCTTTGGGGCTTAGAGCCCAAGATACGCCTCAAATCTGGACAATAAAAACTCGACCTTCGACTACGGGTAGATTCCTCAGTTAAAGGGCATTGAGTTGTTTGGGTTTGTGGCTTGCTGGGGTGATAGGGCCAATGCTCATTTCCGTAAGCCCCTATACGCCATGGGTTTAGGGCTAAGGGTTTAGGGTTTAGAGTTAGGTGCTTTTGCCTTAGAGCCTAAACCCTGACCGTACGGTTCTTAAGGCCAATCGTGCATGAGTTTGACACGTGAGTAGTGCTTCCCTAGACCCTAAAACCCTAAACTCTACGCCGCACGACCCCGCAAATTAATATTTCTGGAAGGCTCAGGCCCGACAAGGGCACGGCGTTTTTGTTGAGAAGACTGGGAGTACTTCTATCATCAACCGTAGTTTTGCATTGCAGGTTTTGTCGAGTAATCCTTCCCCCAAATGTTGACCTCGAATTAATCACCCCCCCACCCCCCCCTGTCTCAGTTGTGTTTTGTTTTCGCCCCGACCCCCTATTGTGGGGGGGTCGGGCTGTCCCGAGCCGCCCGCAAGCCCTGACCTACCCCCAAAAGGGCCCATAGAAAAAGAACAGGTCCCCGGGCCGGGATTCCTTAATTGAGGGCGGGTTTATAATTGAGTTCCGGGCATGGGGTTCCTTAATTGAGTGGGGGTTTATAAATCTGAGGTTAACATTAATGTAAAAGGGTCCCCCCCCCTCCCCGCGCAGTATGAAAAACCCCCAAATCCCCAAAGGGTTTTTAGTAAGAGGGGGGGGGGGGTTCTTACCGTTTGTCCGAACAAACAATCCGTCCTTCTAGCTTGCTGGCTCAGTCATAGAGCAGGTTTCAGGCTTTAGGCACTTTAGGCCTAACAGGTTCAGGCTTCCCCCGGCCCCTATAATTCTGTAGAGATATTAACAGGGGCGACTGCCGGACCGGATTTTGGGGCCAGAGGTTTTTTTTTAGGGGTGTATTAATATTAGGAGGAAGGGTTTAGACTTGGAGGACTTCTATCATAAACCGTAGTTTGGGGTTTCTGTGGCTGGCCTTGGGATTTCTGAGCTCAGAAAGGGGAATATAGGGCTCAGAGGGTCAGCAGGGTCGGGTTCAGGGTTGTGGGGCCAAGACAGGCGTGCCTAAGTTAGGATTGGCTCTTAAAGCCCTAAACACAAACTACTACTTGCTTAAGAACCCGCAAATTGTTTAAAGAAAGCGATGTTCCCTGTATTGCCCTTATAAGGAAGAACATGTTTCTGTTGTTGTTTTATTAATAATATATGTAAATATACATATATATATATATATTTATTTATTTGTTTTTTGTTTTGTGGGGGGGGTTCTTTTGCAAAGAGTAGAACCCTAAACCCTACACCCAGCTTAAAGTTGTTTGGCCATTGCAGGAGCTGGGCGCCGAGCTCTTCAAAGGGATGGACCAGGCGGATCAGCAGAGCACGCTCGGTCGATTGAGGTCTTAGGGGTTTTAGGGGCTTTAGGGGTTTTAAGGGGTTTAGGGGTTTGGGGGTTGAGGGGTTTTGGGGTTTAGGGGCTTAGGGGCTTTAGGGGTTTAGGGTTTTTTAGAGTTTCGGGGACTAGGGGTTTAGAGGTGTAGAGGTTTTAGGGTTTAGGGCTTTAGGGCTTTACGGGTTTAGGGGTTTAGGGTTTAGGGGTTTATGGGTTTATTGGTTTAGGGTTCTTTTGTGGGCTTAACAATCTATTGGCCGCAGTCGGTTTTGGAGAGAGTTTTTACAAGCAATATGGGCCGTTTCTTTTGAACAGCTTTTGTGTATGACGCTTACAATCTCAGGTGTGCCATTTGGATGCCTTGAAACCTGAACGACTAAAAGCCTAAACGTGCCTTACCAACCCTAAACCGACAGCCTCGACCATGGTGTTTCTTTCTTGAGCTGTGTTCGTTGTGGGTTTTCAAGGTGTACGGGTAGCGAACGGCCCGTAAGCCCACAAATAGGGTTTAGGGTTTAGGGTTTAGGGTTGAGGGTTTAGGGTTTAGGGTTTAGGGTTGCGCCACGTTCGGTTGTTGGCCGGATGTGCTGAAGGTACCCAAGCAAGCTTGGCTGGGCGATTTCGTCTGGCTGCGCGCGGCGGCTCACGTGGCAATCTCGCCCAGCCTCTCGATGCACAGCGGCGGCTTACTACTATTTGCTTAAGAACCCCAAAAGAATACAAAAGTAATAATCGCTATATTACCCTTAATAAGGATATGTTTTTAAAGATTTTTTCGGGGTTCTTAAGCAACTAGTAGTTTAGGTGTCAGGTTTGCAGGTAGGGACGCGGTTGAGGGTTGAGGGTACAGGGATGCTCGGGGTTTATTGAAAGGTCTTTTCTGTTTTCGGTGTATTGGAGGATCGTGTCTCGCCCTAAACCCTAAATCCTAAACCCTAAACCCTAAACCCTAAACCCTAAACCTGCAACACTGAAAGACCCCGAGCCCAGAGCTGGGGGCTTGTAAAACTGGGCACAGGACCTCGGGAGCCCTCGGCCGCAACGAACCCCAAGCCTCAAACCTAGGAACCCTTAGGGTTTAGAGTTTAGGGTGTAGGGTGTAGGGTTTAGGCATCAGGGTTTAGGGTTTAGGGTGAGGGTTTAGGGTGATTGATCGCATTTTTCTGCCCTGTAGCAATCGCACTGTGGCGCGCCCTCTTGCCGGAAAAGACAAGGGGCAGCCATGGCATAGGGCGTTTCTTTTGATGTGTGCTGAATGCGCCCTAAACCCTAAACTCCTCAACCCTAAACCCTAAACCCTAAAGTCAAACTCCTCACGCACCTGAACCCTAGGCTTACGGCAGGGCTCCCTCAACATGTGTGTGTGTGTGTGTGTCCAAATTCAAGACACGCTTTTTTTGGCAAACCTCGACTCTTATGTTTCAATCATATACGATAGTAGAAAAGGAGACACATAATTTGGAACAGCTCCGATGTGCTGCCGAAGGCACTTTTGCGTGGTGGGCTGCGTTTCTCAGTGAGGCGGGCCTGATGGAGAACACCGAAGAGGGTTGAGGGTTTAGGGTTTCGGGTTTAGGCTTTAGGGTTTAGGGTTGTGTGACTTCAGTCAGACCTGTTGGGGGTCGGTTTAGGGGACACCCCCCCCCATGGTTCGGAGGATTTTGGGTTGTGGCCTTTAATCCAAGACCATCTTAGCCGCCCAGTGGTTCCCTTTTTGCCCTTTTGGATTCTGGGTTCCTTTGAAAACTAGGACCCAGAGTCGGCCCTGATTCCCTTTTGCTAGGGTGGGTTCTAGAGAAGAAACCCAGAGTAGCCTCTTTGTAATACGGTTTACCGGGCTAGAAAGCAATTTCTGAGCCCTCAACTGCAACCGTCTTTCGACTCAAAGGCAACCGACCATTGAATGGAGACTCTAAACCTAAACCCTTCAACCATCGTTGCACATCGTCAAACCTAAATAAGGTCCTCAACCTCAAAAAAAAACCAACAAAAGCAACCCTACATCCTGTTGCCCGAAACCCTGACCCGGGGACTCCGATACTCCTGAGCCGTGTTGGAGTCTCTGGGTTTAGGGTTTGGGGTTTAGGGTTTAGGTTTAGGGTTTAGGGTTTAGGGTTTAGGGATCCGCGAACGTAAAAAACAAAAAAAACTCAGCCCCAGGAGTGAAGGGTTCCGGGTTTTGGGTTTAGAGCTTCGGGTTTAGGGTCAGCGTGCAAGGTTTGGGGTTTAAAGGGTCGAAAGGGTTTAGGGTCTAGGGTTTAGGGTGAAAGCGTCTGGGGTTTATTGTTTCGGATGTAGGGTTTAGGGTTCAGGGCTCAGGGTTTAGGGTTGAAAGTGGCAGGCCACGACAGTCTATGTGCCGGTGCTGCCGGGCCAGGCTCGGCTTTGCTGCTGTTTGACCCAAAAAATAACCGTACCCAGAGACCGTAGACCCCAATTCCCCTTGGTTAAGGACTACTCCTTAAACCATATGAGGAACCCTCGCATGTTTTGACTATTCCTTATACTTAAGGGGTATGGGAGTCTCTGGGTAGCCCTCAGTTAAGTGGACCCAGAGTGGGCCCTTATTCCCTTTTTGGGGGGGTACTAGGACCCAGAGTAGGCCCTTATTTCCTTTGTTTAGGCTTTAGGTTCCCCTATACGCCCCCGTTTAACCAAAAAGCGAACCCTTGTTACCCCTAGGTTTCTCTTGGGTCTAGAAATATACCCCCTTAAACCATAGTAAGGATCGCTGTATTCAATTTCTATGCTCTCTGCTTGCGGGTTCTCGGAGATCAAAGCGGAGGATAAAACCCTTGGGTACTTAGTTTGTAGGTGCTATTTGGGGGGCTGGTCCCATAACCCCAAGCGAGCGCCTCTCTGTTCTTGTCAAAGCAAGAATCAAACAGGCAGCGCTCCCCCATTGCACACTTAGTTACTCTTTCTCCCTTCACTGCGAAAGGCTTGTAAGGTCTTGCCTGTCTCAGGATGAGGATGCAAGACTCGTCTGGTTTCAACTTAACAACCCTCACCCTGAACTGGCCCTAAACCCTAAACCCGGAATACGCAGCCCTAACCCCTTTTGAGAGACGCGGTTTATATCCTCTGCCGCAAGGTTAAGTGGGCCCTGAGAACCCCACTCCCTCTCTAAGAGGGTCCTATGAGCCCGAGGATTGAGGGGGCTTAAGGAACATGTCTAGCAGGAGTGTGGGGTTTAGGGTTTAGGGTTTAGGGTTTAGGGTTCCTGCCGCAAGCCGACCTGCAAAGGTGCCAATGCCCTGGTGTCCGCTGCTGCCAGAGGCGCCTTAAACCCGAAGCCCTGAATCTGCACATGTCCATAAGCCACCCGCACCCAAATGGTCCGTTGTGGATGGTACTGCCTTGGGGTTTCACAAACTTTGGACTTTTTAGGTGCTGGAGGTTTGGGTTTGAAGGGGTGGAGCACCTCAAGCCAACTACTTCAGGACCGTCCTATGACCTGTGATGGCTTTCTGAACTTAGGATCTTGGCTTAGGGTTGGCCCCTAAACCCTAAACCCTAAACCCCGTGCGCGCTTTCACTTCCGCGAGTTTGGGAAACTTCTTGAAGAAGTGCACCTTAACTTCCACCCGAACCTCCCCAGAGAGCCCAAACCCAGCATACCTTTAATCATACAGCCTTAGTATGATGTAAAGAAACTCCCGATTGAGGGGGCATTGATTGGGCCCTGTGGATAGTCCAAAAAAGGTTTAGGGCTTTGTGTTTGGAGTTTGCAACCTTCAGCCCATCCTTTCTTTCTTGGGTGGTTGAGGATGCCGATGTTCGATTTGGCAGTGACATCGCAGAAAGCACACGATCGGCTGGAGATTTGGATGTTCACCATCTGTGCCCTAACCCTGTATAAACCCTTCAGCCCCACACTAAACCGCACAAGGAATCATCAGAAGCTCCTCCAGCCTAAGCCCTAAACCCAAGGAAGCTTTATTGCCAAGCACTTGACACCCGAGTAGTTCCATGGCAGGATCCGCGCTACGTGCCACGCGGATGCAGTGCAAGCGCTTGAGGAGTTTTTGTTTCGGATGTACCGGTCGCTACCTGCATACCCTTAAATGGGAATATGCAAATGATTTGAGTATGTTGCCCATTTGTAGATCAAGCCTTTGGCCACCCCTTTGGCGCACCCTGCGTTTTCAATCTACTTAGGACTAGGCGGGGGAAGGGGTGCCTTCCTTGTAGATCGATGGTCAACTCATTCCGAATGCAAAGGCCCCTGGCGTTTTGTGTATGATTGTTTTGCCGACGCCCCCTGAAAGCCAAAACCTGTTTGACAATGGGGGAAGGGTGTCTGCCTTTGGCCTGGAAGTTTCGGCTTTTGCTGTTTTGGGTTCCGGGGGCGAAACCAACACAACTAGACTCCTCACCTTAGTCTTAGGACGGAGGGGGGAATCTTCGAGTAGGGTAGTTCCTGAATAGGAGCCTTAGTTGGGAACCTTTAAAGAAGGTGGGACACCATATGAAGAGACTATGCACTCAAATTCCCTTATACTTAGGGATACTTGGGAATAAGTTTTAAGTTTTTGGTACTACATTTCCTAAGCAACAGCTAAAGTTGCAATATTTGCAAGGGTTCCAAGTTCAGTATAGGGGTCATGAACCCTAAAGCCTAGCTCAGGTTCTTCGATGTCTGGAACAACGAGTCCCTGACTGAGGTTGGATTATCCTCGCAGGGCTGAAGATGGTCTAGGGCTTAGGGTTTAGGGTTTAGGGTTTAGGGTTTAGGGTTAGGGCTACAGCACTTGAAGGTTCATGGCTAAGCATAAGTAGGATAGTGTAGGAGTATGAGTATGCTAAGTATGCTTATAAACCTACTTGGAATGCTTGTAACCCTACTTGTAACTACCCATGAAGCTCCAAGCTGTACGACTCAGGGGTCTCAATGGCCCGTGGTTTTCAGGGCCCCCAGCAAGGTTTCAGGAGCCTGCAAGCCTTGCAGCGGCGTGTCGCAGTGTGTCGTGTCAGGAGCACAGATTTGAGATGCCCGGGCATTTTGCGTTTATCGCACTCTCGGCTAGATTGACCATCCAAGTTTTGCGTCGTGCCCTCTTTCTCAGTCTGTCCTAGACTAGACAATGTCAAACTCGCAAGACCTGGGTGTTAATTCGTGCGAGCCTCACGACGGGAGCTGAGTCTGTTGTTTTGCAGGAACCTGGTGACATGCACTGCAAACAGAGGCCTAAGGTGTGGTTTTGCAGATGGACACTAGCATCCCCACCTCCCTTCCCTCCCCCCCCCCTGCCCATCAATCTTGCAAGCGTTAAAAAACACACGAAGCACAGCCACAATCAGAATCCAGGGGGCAGTTCTCTAAATCAGGGTCCCTTTCGGGGGTCCTCTTTAAAAGGGTGCCGATTGTAGCGGGGCCCCAAAAGGGGACTCTAATTCAGGGAACTAACCACGTGTGACATCTGGGAATCCCCAAACTACTCATGCAGGCCGATGCTGCGCGCCAGCGATGCCGCGAGTTCAACAAATGTGCCGATCAAAGGCGCCGGAGAAGCAAGACCAGTTGGGTTTAAGGTTTAGGGTTTAGGGTTCTTCAAGGAGGGGTGCCCCTATTTTGTGCAAATGCTCAAATGAGACTTTCTTCTGGGAGCTGATGAGTGCTGGTTGAACTTTATCCAGCCAGTGGCCTCGCAAAGGGTCCTCGTGCCTACATAAACAAGGTATACATGGTCGTTGAAGCAGCCCTAAACCCTGAACCCTAAAGCCCATACCCTAAACCCTGAACCCCTATTAGATCGCGACTTTTGAGGGCCCAAGTATACAGATATGTATATATATATGCATATATATATGTATATATATATATGTATATCAACTTATTCGTTTGTTTACTTTTCAGGTGCAGATGGGGCCTTAAAGGCGTCTTCTTGAGCACCTCTTTGCCTCACCTGGGGCTCGCTCAAGAAAGAAGGGTTTCTCTTCGTCAGCCCTTTTGCAGTAGGGCTTCGGCTACACCAGGTGCCTATCAGGGTCCTCAAAGCCCCCCGAAGACGCCTTTTGCCGCAATTCCTGAAGTCCCCAACCTCTACACCCAAGCCTTGAACCCCCTAAACCCGCAAACCCTAAGCCCCACTCTGTGGAAGTGACAGGCAGAAGCTGCCCAAATTGCACCGCACCCATTTCTGGTACATGATGTGTCTCGTGCGAGTTTTTGAGTGTGCGTGTATATCTACAAAACTATATATATATATATACATATATGCAACAGCTTGCATGACCTCATGTGAAACGTGTGCATATAATATATACATATATAACTAACCCTAGAGCCCATGCCCTAGATCATAAACTCTCAGCCCTTATGGCTTCCTCTGAGTAGCCCGTGTCGTGCCAGGTGCCCTTTGAAGTCGTCACCTGCAGACCTGGCAAATCGCGACTGGGGCTGCAAGGCAGGAGTATCTCAATTAAGGCAAATGGGTATTTAGGGTTATTTCAGGGAGTTTAGGGTATCTTAATTCGGGTAGAAGGGTATTTAGGCTTTTTTAGGGAGTGTAGGGTTTAGGATGCTTCGGGTGTGAAGGGTATTTTTGGGGTGTTTAGGCGTAACTTCAGGGTCTGGAGTTTAGAGGGTTAAGGAACAGCGGCAGAGCTGGAGTAGAGACGTCACACTTTGCGCACCTGCAACCAGCCGGGCCGTCTTGCTTCCTAAACCCTAAAAAAGACCCAAACTGCAGCTGTCACCGTATTTGGGGTGCAGAAGCCGAGATGCTTGTGCACTTCTAATGTTAACGTCGCTTTAATAAACCCCCCCCCCAAATCTTGTTTTGGTCCCCGGGGTTTGGACGGGCCAAAAAAAAGAGAGGGTGTCAATAATGAGGATTCTGGGGTCTGGGGTCTGCGGTCTGGGGGTCTAAAGGTTTTAAGTAAGGAAACCTGGCTTTGAGATCTCTGGCGGCTTCCTGAATTCCAGGACCCGAAGGCTGAAGTCTTAAGCTTCAGGGATTCTTGCCTTGAGACTTGGACCAGGACCCGAAGCCTGAAGTCTTGAGCTTAAGGGTTCTTGTCTTGAGACTTAGAGGCAGCCATTTAAACTTGAGGCTTCCTTGGTTCCCCCCCCCCCCTCGCCGAAATTATTATTGCCACCCATTTACTATTGTCATTTTGGAGGCCCATAAGGGGCACCCTTTCCGGACTTGTTTTCGAGCCCCGGCGGATAAGGATTTTAGTAAAGAAACCTTGCTTTCAGACCTCTGGCGGTTTCCTGAATTCCAAGACCCGAAGGCTGAAGTCTTCAACTTCAGGGGCTCTTATCTGAAGCCTTAGAGGAACACCTGCTCCTCTGAAGCAAGAGGCCTGAAGCAGCAGTTTCTCGCAGCTCTGGAGCTGCAGCAATCACAAAAGGCACCTGCTTCTCTGAAGAAAGAGGCCTGAAGCAGCAGTTTCTCGCAGCTCTGGAGCTGCAGCAATCTCAAGAGGCACCTGCTTCTCTGAAGAAACAGGCCTGAAGCAACAGTTTCTCGCAGCTCTGGAGCTGCAGCAATCTCACAAGACAAGCAATCTCAAACGAGATCTGCTTCTCTAGAGCCTCGGAGCTCGAAAAGTCTTCTCTGCAAGTAAAATTTCTGATTCCTGGCCGGCCAAATATTACTGTTGTCACCCCATTATTATTTTCACCGGACCCCCCTGTATAGACTTGTTTACACACATCGGCCCGAAAACCTCCCGTAATGGAAAGTAGTCTTCGGCTGAGCCCCTCTGGCCCGGCGAATATTACAGTTGCCACCCCATTTATAGATGTGAGGTTAACATTACACCGAAAGCCCTGCAGACTCCATGTTCTGCGTTGTAATAAGGCCTTCGAAGCCCTATCATCCAGGCAACCCTCCGAAATCTTACGCCCCTAACTCCCTACATGTCTCCCTCCCTCAAAGGAAATCTCTGTAGCCTTCAACCTTGTAACCTGATAAACCCTAAACACCCTAAACCTCTTAAGCCCTGGACCCTGAACAACCTTATCAACCCTACGCGAATCCCCCCCTTAAAATAACAATCGTAAAACAACTATCAGCCCTGAAACACCAAAACGCCCTACGAAAGCCCCTAGAAACTCCATTCGCCCTGTATGAAGCCCTGTCATCTCTTAAAAGCCCATCTGCAAGCCCTTATGAAGCCTTTGGAGCCCTTATAAAACCCTTACAAAACCCTTCAAATCCAAGCCCAGGCTTCTATCCAGAGGTCCTGGCCCTTCAAAGCGAGGTGGCCGGGAGCTTGGTTCAGCTGTGAGGGGTACTCGTAGAGGGTTCAGGCTCGGGGGTTTGAGGGTCTCGATATAGGGCTTAGGTAGGGTTTATACGGGGTTTATTCAGGGTATGTATCCAAAAAAAGGAAAGTTTGACCTACCGTAAGCTCTGGGGGGCAAGATCAGGTGTGTGATTTTTTGTTCCTTTTGGGTTTAGGGGTTTAGCGGCTGGGGGGTTTAGGGGGTTTAGGGTTTAGAGTTTGGGGTTTAGGGTTTAGGGATGCTCAGGTTCAAGGTTCTCGTGATCCCGGTTGAGGGTTGTTTGTCGGTTGGGTGTTGTTGTTCCGACCGACTCTCCTAAACCCTAAACCCTAAATCCTACTTGGAGGTTCATAAAAGTCTCCTGAAATAGGGCTATACGTAGAGGGCTTAGGTGTCAAACCCTAAACCCTAAACCCTAAACCCTAAACCCTAAACCCTAAACCCTAAACCCTAAACCCTAAACCCTAAACCCTAAACCCTAAACCCTACCCCCTAAACCCTACACCCTAAACCCTAAACCCTAAACCCTAAACCCTAAACCCTAAACCCTAAACCCTAAACCCTAAACCCTAAACCCTAAACCCTAAACCCTAACTCAGTCACGACGCCCCTTTCCTTCCAAAGCAAGAAGCCAAGGACCAGAAGTACATCGCAGCTCGAAGCGCGGGTCAAAGTCAAGAAAAGCTGCTGGCCTCCAGGCCCAGACTTCAAAAATCAAAGCCCCACAAAGGTCTCTAGGGCTTGGTAAGGTTAAACCCTAAGCCCCTAAGCCTTAAACCCTAAACCCTAAACCCTAAACCCTAAACCCTAAACCCTAACCCTTAACACACAAGCCCTGAGACCTAAACTGTAAACGCGATCAATTCCGATGTACAGGGAGGCTGTATTGGGCGCTCCAAGGTCCCAGGATGCACAGTAGTACCCGCAATTATGATGACTACACATTTTTCATATATATATATATATATTTTTTTTTGTTCTTTCTTAGGTTGAGTACTAGGGTTAGGGTTTAGGGATTTGTTCCATGTATCTTAGGTTACGTGCTTGGGGAGGGACCTAGCAGGCTGGCCAGAGGGCTTGAAGCGCTAAGACGATGACAAGGGTTGAGGGTTTAGACATTCAGTTACCCCGTACTGCAGAGTCCTAGAGACATGCTCTTGTGAACTGCATGTCGCTAATCTTGTTGAATCTGTTTGCAAAATGTGCCGCTCAGAGGCAAGGATTAAAGCCTCCTTCTCAGTGTTGGTCGACCAATAGCTGAGATGACTGTCGTTGATTTGTGTCCCTAGACCCTAAACATAAGCCCTAAACCCTCAACCCCATAGAGCCCCTTTGGGGTCAATATTCCCGATATGGGGTGACCGTCTATGCGCTCCACATTCTGTGCCCGAAGTCACAGTCGGTCCACGGGACCTCGGGGAAAGCTATCTGAGAGCTTTCCCAGGCACATGTTCCTCTGGGAACTTCAATTTCCCAAGCTCGGAGCCCGAAGTAACAAAGCGACAGCAGCCTCACAAGGAAGTTCGTGATGGAAGCCTTACTCCACTACTACCCTAAGCCCCTTAACCCTAACCCCCAAGCCTTCCTACAACCATACATGTCATCACACAGGGTCCATCTTTGGTTCAGTAAAGCTTCGTCTCTCGGAGACGACACAGCACTCCGCTGGTAACATGCCTGGATCGTGGCCAGATGGCGACGCGGCGGTGCAATTAGGCCCTGGGTGGTCGTGGGGGCGTTTAGGTTCTAGGGTTTAGGGTTTAGGGTTTAATTTCACATATAGCCAACTCTTCCAAGATAGCTTCGCGAAGGAATCTCCCTCGCATCATGAAGGGAT